ATGGAAATGAACACGGCTGGGCTGAACTTCAGAGCTCCGCTCGGATGTGTTCCATGTGACAAACGTGTTCCCGGCATCTCTAGCCTTGCTCCCCAGGACAAGCCCGTGTCACCTCTCAGGCATGGTAATGGGGGGGGGTCAGCAATTTCCTCCCCACAGCCAGTGGCTAAAAGAGCCTACAGTTCCTCTGTGTCCCTTCCAGTCTCTTTCACATCAAGTCCAAGTCCTCCGTAGGACCTGAACTCTGGAGTCTTTGTTTAGGGAGTATAAAGACCTTTCTCTTCTTGTCATGGAGAGAAGAGTCAGGGGCAGGGGTGTGGAGGGCAGATGTGACTGGCAGGCGAGTGTATAATGAAGGAAAGATGGTTTTGGGTCACTGTGTTCATCAGACCTTGCCTCCCTGGATGCCAGGTGCCCTCTGGAATAACCTTCATCTTTATTGCCTACCACCATCATCTTCATCTTCATCTTCTCATTTTCCTCCTCCTCCTTCTTTTTCTTCTCCTCCTTCTCTGTCATCATCTTGTGTGTGTTATATGTGTGTTCGTGTGCATGTATGTGTGTTAGTGAGAGAGAGAGAGAGAGAGAGAGAGAGAGAGAGAGAGAGAGAGAGAGAGTGTGCATGCATGCGTATGTGGAGGCCAGAAGACAGTGTCTAGTGTCTTCCTCAGTCACTCTCCGTCTTACTTCTGAGGCAGAGTCTCTCATCAAACAGACTTGACTGGGCTGCCTGGATAACTAGCAAGCTTTAGGTATCTGTCTGCCTCTGCCTCCCCACACTGGATTCCCACCCTGGGCTCTTGGATCCCCTCATATGGGTCTTACCTCTGCTTCAAACAATTTATTCCCCCTCCCTCCTTTCCCAGCTATAGAATAAGTCTGTTGAACCCTGGATCATATGGGATATGATATTATGATTCTGGCAAACAAATGACACAAGAGATGTAACAACCCCTACATGCTGTGTCTGTGGCAGACATCGCTAATCAACTACCTCTTCTGGATGAGCCTGAACATGTCTCAGAATCTATCTCCACACACAACCACGAGTACCTTAGAGCAAATATTTAGAGTTGGCAAGTGACATGAAGTTTTCTCCTTCCTCCCTGCTCTCCCCCTCTAGCGCTTACAATGGAACTTGGTGAAGATGAAGCTCTCCCTGTCGTGTCTTTTTAAATGCACATGATTCAAGCGATGAGAACAAGCGGTTGATGGATGCTCAGCCTTGTGTGCTGCTGTATTAATGGCTCCAAAGCTTAGGGACGTCCTGGAAGAGAGGGTGGAAAGACTGCAGGAAGTGGAGGATGGGGTAGAGTGCTGTGATCACTGTCTTCTGGGCATAACATGGCTGGACCCTCTTAGACCCTAGCAGCTGTGGCTCTCCGCACAAGGCCTGCATATGGATTCGGCTCATAAACCTTCCATCGTGGAGGGGAAAGGGATTGATAGCCCGCCCCCCTCTCCAAGGATCCGCAGGCCGTTAATGATTGCTGAGGGCAAGAGAGAGACATTTTTCTCAGTGCCATAGTCACCGGCAAGGTGCCCATGATTCTGTAAATAGCCCCTTACCCATGCACTTGGGAGCAACCCTAAGGAAGCTCACTTGGGCCAGGAAAAACATGAAGGCGAAGGAAAAGTACTTGGGAAGATTGTAGGAGAGGAAACAAGAGGGGGTAAAGGGGGTGAGCACGATCAAAATATATTACATACATATGAAAACATAATGAAAGCCAGCATTATATATAATTATTGTGTTTACGGGAATGGAAAAACAGGTGTACATGTGCACATGCGCACACACACATATATTTCCACCCTCCATGCACACACACACACACACACACACACACACTGTCAGCTCTCCAGCATCAGGTCCCGGGAGGCTGCCCCCACACTGTGAGCCTGGTGAGACTCCTGGGGCAGTGACAGTGATGGCAGTATCTGGAGGCAGCTGAGCGAGGCCTGATCCATGTAGAGAGCTGACAGGGCAGGCAGCTCTGTGTTTCCTGCCAACTCCTACAAACTCAGCCCAGCACCGAGAGGTGGCAGACTCCTTGTCCCCTCAAGCCACATCACCCTCACTTTAATGATGCCAACGTTTTGACAGAGCTGAGCAATACAGCCGGTAGGTGTGAAGTCGGAATTAATTTTCCTCGGAAGGTCAAGTGCGTTAATGAGCTCTTAGCTGGCTCGGGTTGGTGCTCCCTTTTGTTCTTTTTGCAAGAAGAAGAAGAAATAGGGGAGATAAGGTGTCATTTCCTAGAGCTTTGCTGTCCTTCTTTCAGAAGATGTGGCCTCTTTTCAGAGGCACAGTAAACCCAGGGGGCAGACATCTGGGCTCAGCTCCCACCTGCCCCGAGGAGTTCAAGTCCCACGACATTTGAAAAGTCTCAGCACTGAACTGACTTAGTGTTCAGAAATAAGGCATTTAAAGAGATGAAAATTTAGAAAACAAAACAGGTTGAATTGCGTGTGCCAATCTGCAGCTACCTGGGATAGTGGCATCTTGCTTTGCCTGTGAACTTGAGGTGGTGGCCACACCCTAGGGGCGTGGCTTCAGGTGTTCAGTCACTACCCCCTTATAAGGTAGAGAAGGGGCTGGCTCACTGTCTTATGTTGCAGTGAGAGCATCGGAAGGGCATCTTCTAGAGCAGAAAGACCGAGGCTGTTAACCTAATTATCATTTATCTTGGGTCTGGTGGACTCATTTAAACCTTGCCTTCAATGTGGGAATGCTCCTGGAGCTATCTTCTGCTGATCATGAGTGATTAGTAATGTCTGCCTGATCGATTAGCACTGTCTGCCTTGGGCATAGCCTACGGTGGTTATAGCATTTGGAAATGACATGTTATGTTAGTTGACATAGCAAAATCATGACATCATTACATGTTAGCTGACATGTGGAATCATGATCTCATGACATGTTAGCTAATATGAGATTTGTTACATCATGGCATGATAGCTGACAATGGTGGAATCATGACATGGTAGACTTATGGTATCCTACATGTTAGCTGATGTGGTAGATTCACTCGCGTGTTACCTGACATTATGGCCTCATGTCCACCGCCAAGCTTCTGTTTTACTCTGCTTGTTATTTGCGCTGGTTATTTGGACTGGTAGACTTTACTCAAGGCTTCAAGTTCAAGATTCATTTCTCCACGTCCAGCTAAACACCTAGCCATGCTGTACCCTGTGCCAACAAGGAAGCACTGTCCCAGTGACACCTTATAGGTCAGCGATGACCTCAACATGTCACAAGTATGGACTTTGGGGCAAAAATGGAACTTAAACAAAACTACAGTGTTTGGTTGTTGGGCTGTGGGGCATGATCCAGTTAAGACCAGATCCTCAAAGGTAGGTAGGCATGGAGGGCTTGTAAACATGAGAACTGGAGTTGAATGATGGTGTGCGTGGGCGTTAAATACATTTCTTGGCTTTTACATCATCCACAAAAGATCTGCCAAGAGAGGCCTATGCACCAAGACACCAACATAAAAACAGCTTCTTTCCCCGAGAAGGACTCTTAAAGACCAGTGACCCAATAAGTAGATTATATTTTAAAAGGACATTGTAAAAATCCCCCATTAAAATAAAGAGAAGGAGAGGTTGTCACCCCCCCCACCATCTGACTTTTATTACTATTGTGATAGAGTTGTGTGGCTGGAGAAGGCAGGATTAGCAAAATAAAGTCTGCAAAGAGAATGAAGTCTTCTCTCTAAGCTTGGGGGATTTAACAGAGATAAAATTCCACTCTCCTGTCTCAGTGACCTCCAGCAGTTGCTTTGCAAGGGGGACATCTTCTCATGTCCACCCTCCACATTCCATTCATCTGTTGCCATCGCCCCAACAGAAGGATGCTGCCGGGGCTGACACAGACTTGTGATCAGAAACAGCTGGGTGCCTCTCAGATCCTGTACCTAAAGAGGAAGAAGACACGAGGGAGCCTGTCCGCTTGGCCTTCTTCCAGCTTAACAGGTTCCCAGGAAGATGACTGCCTGGGAATTTAGATGCCTCTGTGTGCCAACTTAAACCTGAGATGGGCATTCCTGCAAACTGCTTATCCAAGATGGCTCCCTCCCACGTTCTCAGATGGGGTTGGTCATGACAGCTGGAGTCACAGAGACTGTATGATGTATCCAGTATTGATGGGGGATGTGGTGCTCTGGTCTGACTCCAAAGTGTTTCCCACTAGCTTCTGTGTGAAATCCTCCCTCCCCTGCTGGTGGGGCTATTGGAGAGAGGTTTGGGAACTTTGGGAGATAGGCCCTACCTGGAGAAAGTAGGTTCCTGAAGATGGGTCCTTAGGGTTACCTTCTGCCTTTCTGCTTTGTGTATCTCACTCTCAGTGTCCTGTCTGCCAGGAGTAAAAGAAGTTCCACTGCTACACACACCTGTTACCATGGTGTTCTTCCTATGTCCAAGGAACCAAACGACCCCACAGTAAACCCTACGAAACTGAAGCACCAGGACAGGATGCTCTGCAGCAAGTTGAGCTACCTGGCAGTACTCCTGTAAGTAACCCCAATAAAACTCATTAGTTCACCAACTTGGACATTGTGTCAATCATAATTTAGGTCTGCTGTGGGCTCCTTTTCTGAGGTCAGTAGGTGTGTGTGTGTGTGTGTGTGTGTGTGTGTGCATCTCCTCAGGAAAAGTCTGTCACACAACAGCTGCACAAACCATTGGTTTCCAGTGCCTGCCAATTGGATGGACACAACTCTGCATTTGAATTCTGCTTTTCCAGATAGGTCAAGTCAACAACCTCATGCCTGTGTTGGGTTCTTGATAGGACTATGAAGCATGAGCGGGGACTACAGACACCCCCTCGGTGTCTGAAAACATCAGTTGGAATTGGGTGAGAGTACAAGCCAAGGGGCCAGGACCTTAAACAGAAAAATAATACCTGCTTACGTAAAACAAAGGAAGGGATACACACAGATCATTGCAAAGGGTTATTTGACCCTCTTAGAAACCTTAATTGCTGGTAATAGGCAGTCTGTTAGCTAGTATTTTATTAGCACTAATAGATTTTTTACAGGACATTTCTCACTCTACTTTCCAAGAGCCTCAGGAATTCATTAAATATTTAAAAGTACTGCTCAGAGTTGTTCAGTTACAGATGCCCCTTCTGATGAGGTTTCCCGCAAGTTAGAGACCCGGAGAGAGGAGACCAGCGGCAGATGGATGCTCACTGTCGGTCTGGGCAGTTCCAATCAAGAGCATTGGCTGAGTGTTTGCTGTGCGCTGTGTGCTCAGCGCTTTGTGTCTGTGAGTTAAAAATAAAGGGGCTTGAGAGACGGCTCAGCAGGTAAAGGCGCTTTGCAGTCAAGAATGATCTCCCCAGGGTCCGCACGACAGAAAGAGAGAAACAACTCTCACAAGTTGTCCTCTGACCTCCCCACATGCACACTGTAGTACACTCATGGGCATATACACAGAATAAACAAACAAACAAGTAAATCCAAACATTGCAGATTCTCTGATACTTACCCACTTCCCGGGGAAACCAAAGCTTTGCTTTCAAGGGTAATAGGAATGGAAGGGTCGAAAGGGAGTGAATGGATGCTGGCCACGAGGAACCAGCTAGAAGAGGACCTCCCCAAAGGTGCTGCTGATTAGCTGTGTGATCTTGAGCAGGTCCCTAACCTTCCTGAGCTGCAGTTTTGTCTTTACACAGTGGAGATTATTCTTCATTTGACAGGGGAGGGGGTGAGGTCACAGGTCAGAGAACTCCAAAGAGGGAAGACCAGAACTAGCAATCTGGTCTCAGACTTAGTCCGATTGATTATTACAGCATAACTAATGTACTAATCAAGATTCCTAGAGTGCACATATCCATGTACACACACACACACACACACATTTGTCACTAGAAGTTCAATATGCTATCCACTGGAGCACAGAGCAACCCCCACACACATTTTTTTAAATTTCTTTCAGTAGGAAAAGTTCTATACTCTGCCTCTTACAATCTGTGATCTGCAGAAGATTCTGCAGGTCAGTCATTCTCTCTTTTTTTTCTAGTTTTCATCACAGTATATGCTAATGGTGTTTGATACAGCCCAGTGGTCACAGGTGGTGACTGCTATTGCTCTTGATCATGATCAGGAACAGATATAGACAGTTAGTTTCATTTCCTGGTCCTTCACCCATGGATCTCAGTATTTTCTATTGCCTCATACCCTTCAGTCCATGCGTGGAATTGTAATAACCAATGACCTTTCTTTAGAAGTTCATTTCTCACTTTCAACATTTATTCTATAAATGTTTCTTGAGCCCATACTATGTGGTCAATGCTATTCTAGCCTCATAACAGAGGGTAACAATACTGAACATTTTATAACCCCCCTACATTTGTGAGTCTTTCATTAGTGTGGGAGAGAGACATATGAGTAACCAAAAATATTGTCACATGGAGCTGTGAAAAAAATATAAATTATGGATTTGGGTGAATGATGGGAGGCCATTTTAAATGGATTGAGTCCGCCTTATTAGTGGGTGACTTTTCAGTCAACATTCTAAGAAGATAGAGTTAGCTAGAAAGACATTTGGAAAGAGGGCAATCTAGATAGCAGGAATAGCACATTCAAAAGCTACTGGAGCCAGGTCTGGTGGTGTGGTGCTACAATCTCTGCTACTCATGAGGTTAAATCAGTAGCTTGCAAGTTCAAGGCCTACCTAGGCAATGGTGTGTATCTCAAAACATCAGAGAGGCTTATATGTGTCATGTCTGGTCTGGTAGCAGCTTATAAAACAATCACTCAGAGGCTTAATATTAATTATAATTGTTTGGCTGATGGTTCAGGCTTAATATTGGCTAGCTCTTACATTTAAATTAACCCAGTTCTATTAATCTGTGTATCACCACATAGTCTGTGGCTTACCAATGATGCTTGGACATCTTTCTCCTTTAGCAGTTGGTTGGCATCTCCTCAACTCCACCTTCTTTCTCCCTGTATTGCTGCTTGGATTTCCTGCGTAGGCCAAAGCAGATTTATTCACCAACCGATAATAGCAACACATATTCACAGCATACAGAAGGACATTCCACATCAGCTGGGGATGCAGCTCGCTGGTGGAGAGGTGGCTTCCCATGCACAAGGCCCTGTGTCCAATCCCTTGTATCATGAAACCCCTGGAATGGAGTATTTTAGAATGGTGAGAATGGGAGGCTACTGCTCAGCACATCACAGAGAAGAAAAGGACATAGGGTGGGAAAAAGCTGTGGACACACCTACCAGCAGTGTTCTGCAGCGAGCCTCGGTTGCCCACTGACTGTCACACCCTCATCTCAAAGCCTCTTCATGCTTCCCCAAGGAATGAAAGTCAACTGAGTCCGCCCACCAAACAAACTGTGAAGTTATTTGGCTCTAGGTATTAGTATGCAAATTGTATCAAGGTCTCTGCCAGGACTCACAGAATTCATAATAGACACTTTAGATTTTGTGAAGAAATACAAGAGACACTTAAATTTTGTGGGATACCATGCAGAGCACATCTGTCAAAGTACCTGTTCCAATAGTAAGTTGGGTCACATTCATTTTGCCCCGGACTCACTTTCTTTCATGTACGTAGTCACTTCTGCTGTCTTTTGATAAGTGGTATAACTCATTTCATCTTCGCCCTACCTTGTGAGGTTCAAAGTGAGTCTCTGCCATTGAATTGGTGTGTTTAGACACACCAATGTGAAGGTTGTCTATGTCTTCCACAATTTTTGATTTTTAAAAATCTATACCAGTTGGTTATTTCTCCTGTATATATAGGGTGTGGCTTTTATCTGACTGTTTTAACTCTTTGCTTACATGTGTATTTAAGTTTTATAAGATTGACAGTGATGTATCTGGATGTATATTTTCTTATTGTTTCTGTTTGAGGGTCACTATATTTCTCTGTCTATCTGTCTGTCTGTCTGTCTCTCTCTCTCTCTCTCTCTTTGGTTTTTGGGAGACCAGGTTTCTCTGTATTGCTTTGGAGGTTGTCCTGGAACTTGCTCTATAGACCAGGCTGGCCTGGAACTCACATACATTCGCCTGCCTCTTCCTCCCATGTGCTGGGATTAAAGGCGTGTGCCACTAATGCCTGGCTTTCACTATATTTCTTCATATTGTGAAACTTCCTTCCCTGGAAAGCTATAAAACAAATACTTGACTCTTACAAAGCCCCCAAACAAACCAAAACATCATTCTGCTAGAGTCCATCCTGGGAACCAATGAGTCTACAGGCCTTTCTTATAGAGTATAGGTGAGGGGTTCTTCATAGAAGTATAGATGACATCAAGACATCCACACTCTGAAAGCCTCTCCCCAGCATAAATGGTACCTTCCCCCAGCTGTATAGATGGAGTCCTCCCTCCAGTTAACCTTCCCCAGGCTTGCCATATTTCTTGGGATCGTGAGACCATGGGCAATTAGGACAGAACTACACTATAACTGGTCAGGAGGAACAGCTAGAATCTCAGGTGAGGACCCAATGACCTTCTCTACCCCTTCCTTTATGAGGTACATCAACAGGCCAACTAGTTCAACCTTGGGTGTCTCTTGCAAGTAAGTGCATCTGTGCTGATGAACTTGTCAGCTGTTACACTCCAAGGACAGAGTTTACAACACTCAAAAAACATAGGTTTGTGTCTTTTCCCCAAACTGATAGCATCTTCTTCTGTTAATATCTTCAAAAATTATTTTCAATTTCATGTTCTCTTCTGGGAACTTTGATGAAACTGACATCAGTTGCCTGTTTGCTCTTATCTAGAAGGTTCTCAACACTCTAGTCCTTTTTGAAAAAAATCTATTTTCCTCTCTGTTGTTTAGATTGTTTTGTTTCCATGGACTTGCCTTCAAGCCTACTGCTTTGTTCTGACAGAAGCCATCCCTTGGGCTTTTTGCTCAGGGTAGTGTATTTTTTTTTACCACCACCTCAGTTCCCATCTGGCTCGTTTTTGTGTCTTCTCCTTCTTCCTGAACCTTCCTTTGCTTCCTTCACTTCAAGTAATGGGCTGTCCCAATGTTCCTGTCATCTTGGACTTGCCATCTGCTGATTGTCATTTCCTATTTGACTTGAGATTTCCCTGGTTTGGGTATGGCGAGCAATTCTGTGCTCTGTGCTAGACGTTTTTAGCATGAGGCTGTACAGCTCTGGTTCTTATTTCAATCTTTTATTTTTGCAAGTAGCCAAACTCCCAAGGTTCTGGCTGACTTCTGTAGGCTCTGGTTTGAATAGCGATTGGATTCTCAAATCCTTTGCAACACTATCCTGGTATCCTGTGTGCTACCTAGAGGCCAATAGGAAGCCTGGGTGGTATTTTCTTCTATAGCTTAATTCTCAAACATATTCCCCTTCCCTCCCCCCCTCCCCCCCCCCCCCCGTGACTCTGCTTACTTTCATTCGAGGTCTGTTTGAGGGCATGCCAAGGACTTCATTCAAAGTTACTTAGTTCTTTTCATACTTCAGGCAGATGATTGAAGAGCCCCTGTGGATGTCTCTCTCTTACAATCCCTGCCCCTCTTCATCTCCTGTTAGGGTGAGGAGGATGCACTCATGTTTGTTGGGTCTCTGTTGACTTGGTGTGGGTAGGAAGGATCATATATGCCAACAGCAAAGTAGGCCAGAGAAGATCAACAGAATTCCACCCTAGGACTTGATGAGCAGGGGGAGGAGGACTCCCGTATTTGTGTTGGTGGTTGGTGCCCCACCCCCTCTTTAGCAGCTTTCTCTGTTCAAAAGAGAAGGGGTGTAGTCTCTTCCAGTTCTCTTACACTTAAGCAGTAGTCGAAACCACTGATTTCTGACCTCTCCTGGGCCTTTATCTGGAGAATTGGTCTTCCTTCTCCTCCCTCCCCTCCAATTCCTTTCTTTCCTAGCAGTGGACATGTTGATCCCCATCCCTTGGTGTTTCTGAGCTGTGGCTATTCTAATACCTAAATTAGCATCTATAGGAGGCTGTGGCTTCACCCGCTACCCTACACACCTACCTTTCAGTCTCAGGTATGGTTTCAGATGTGTGGTCAGCATGGGGTGGGGATTAGCTGTGTTTAGCAGGAGTAACAGAGTGCAGTGAATCAAATGATTCTGCCCCACTATATTCACTGAGATAATCCCATACCTGGAGATCCCACTATTTAAAGGCAATGTTTCAAGAAAATCCTCAGCATGGCAGTGGCAGCGGTGGTGGTGGTAGACGTGACAGATCTGAGTTCAAGTTTGAGAAGCTGAGGGGTGTCCCAGCTACATCTACCTGCTTAGCATGGGTTCCATCCATGTAGGGATAAAAACGTAAGCATTTCTTCTCTTTCCACCTATGTGCATTAATTCCTCCCCCTCCACATACAAACAATGCTGACTTGGTAGATCATAAATACTGAAGTACCTTTCTGGTGTTAACAACCCAGTGAATGGAATTATTAGCCACTTCCTGGAAACAATTACCGAGACACTAAAATCACTGTGACGTTTGAAAGTTTGGGTCCTCCAGTGTGAAAAGAGGACCTATGTAAACCCAAAAGTAGTGAATTAACCCAGAGAGAGCTGGGAGGGCAGACCTGACACCTTCCAGAGTGACAGGAGAGGAGAGGGAGGGAGGAGGAGACTCAGAAGAACACGAGACCCCATGCTGTTGTGTTGGGCTGCCCCATTACAAGAAAGAATCCACTTTCAGCTTTGTTAACACAAAGCTTTTTATCTCTGGGGCTCAGAGGGCTTTGTTACAGGTAAATATTCTCGTCTCCTGCTGAGAATAGGAGAGGTCAGGCCCAGGGAGATTAGCTGAGACGCCTATTTAAGGTCACATAGCCGGCAGTGGCAAAGTAGAGACTCAGAAAGTGGCCGGTAATGGGATTCGTCTGCTGACTATTGTATCAGCCTAAGATGCTGGGTGGGGTGTGGAGAGTGGGGTGTGGAGGGCAAGGCTCCAAGGGGAGGCAGGAGCTGGCCAGAGTATGCATCTTAGACTGTCACCACGGAAAGGACTTGGGGGGGAACTGTTAAATATGGTCTCCTTTGTTACCCAGACCTCACACTGAGATTCTAGAGGGTCACGGTTTGCAGAGTTTGCACAGCCCATTCAAAAAAAAAATGAGCCAGAAGTAGCAAGGAGGGTTCCTGGAGGCTGGCTAATTCTCTTGGAGTTTTCCTGGCTTTCAAGGGATTCGTATAGGAAAACTGACTAAGGAATACAATTTCTCTAAAGCCGGTTCTATACAATTCAAGGTGTTATCAGGACCCTGGTGAAGCTGGGGGGGGGGGTGGGATCTCAGAGGCTAGAGGAGGTGGGGTGGAAGCTTGGTTCTGTGGTGAATTAGTGCTGTGCCTCAGACAAGACACTTCCTAACTTTGTGCCTTTGCAAGGAGTATTGAGAGATCTGGCCCCACTGATTCCTTATCAAATCCCATCTGTGAATGACAAAGACAACAGATCCCAGTTCCCCTTCCTGAAAAAGGGAGCTGTTATTCATGAAGTGTGTGTCATTCATGGAGTCCATTGCATGGTATCCAGGCAGCACTTGCCTTGAATGTGTGGGTTGGGCAGCTTTACCCTCAGGATTGTTCATCCCTGTTACTTATTTTCATGACTGTAGTGGCTATCAGCTCAGGCCGTCAGACCTGGCTTAGAAGTGGTGGGCCTACTTACTCCCTACAATTACTGTTGTTCTGTGGTTTAACCCCAAACCCTCAACAACTGTATCCCAGTATTTCCAGACACTGTGGAGTACCCAGTTCAATTTGTATTGACAAGCAGGCGACACTACATCTAAATCTGTTTCAAACACTCCCTGGGCTATGCCTACACTCTAAATTTAGTCACCAACTTACCTGGCATCTTGTAGGATGGATATGGAAATCCTTAGAGATGAGGCAATCTTGGTTCTATGGCTTCAGTTCTAAAACGTTGTTATCATTGTTTTAGCTTCAGAGCTCATGCAGGAAGGACTGACTCTGTGGTTCTGATTTTCTTTTTCTTCCCAAAAGAGAAATGA